ACAAGGTAAAGGTAAAGGGACCCCTGACCATTAGGTCCAGTCGTGGCTGACTCTGGAGTTGCGGCACTAATCTTGCTTTATTGGCCGAGGGAGCCGGCGTACAGCTTCCAGGTCATGTGGCCAGCATGACTAAGCCGCTTCTGGCAAACCAGAGCAGCGCACGGAAATGCCGTTTACCTTCCCGCCAGAGCGGTACCTATTTATCTACTTGCACTTTGACGTGCTTTCGAACTGCTAGGTTGGCAGGAGCAGAGACCGAGCAATGGGAGCTCACCCTGTCGCGGGGATTCGAACCGCCAACCTTCTGATCGGCAAGTCCTAGGCTCTGTGGTTTAACCCAATTTGCCATAAAGACTACCCTGAACTTATTACAACTTGGGAAAGGCAAGCACAAAACAATATACTTAGCCATTATGCCTTAAAAAAAAAGCTACACTGCATCAAGCTGGATGCTTGGAAACCAATTGTATTACACTATGGGCAAGTTCTGTCATAAAAACAAAACAGAGCATTTCAAGGCCATATAGAGTGAATATTTTAATTCTGGATGGGAGAGAGAGAAGAGAGAGAATGAGGGGGGAAATGGTAGAGGCTTTGAGTTTTTATCATTTTCATGCATTATCACTTTAATTATTGACTATGCCAAGGCAATCTTAATGGGCTTTTTTGTTTCCTTGAAAACTTCTATGAACAGCTTATATCCCTAGTTGACAAGCTTCTGTTAAAGATAATTTGCAGACAGTTAGACTATTTAAGGATAGGATTCCCAAAAGCAACTTCTATATGCGGAGCAATTACTTAAGTTATAATTACACTTACAATATATCTGTGGGACCTACAGGACTGTCTCGTATAGGGAGAAACTTTGACAATAACTACCAAGTTGCATGTCTTCTAGTTCTGAAAAGGAGCAAAGGGACAGGGAGAGAAATGCCATGCACATTATCAGAAGGCATACTAAATATTTCTTCTTTGCTTGGTTTGCTTTTAAATTACTTTTACAGCTCTCTACAATATTGGCTGTAATAAGCACCTGGAGGGGAGAGAGGACATGGAGTTTATGCATTTTGATGGGAACTAGTCCCAAAGCAGGAACCTTCCTTCTGCCAAACAGGACGACATGGGAGGTAAAGGCGCAGCAGTGGTGTGGCAAATGTTGAACTGTAGGAGCTCTGCATGTCCACACCACAAGGTCCAAAAATACAAGGAGCTGTGCTGACACACAGCCACACCCAAATATTAGCATAATGCCCAATTGATTAAGATAAAGTGACAGTCACTGAAGAGATGTTTAATGCAGCCATTAAATCAGAAATGCAAGCAATCTTCCAAAGAAGTTTTTACCATATAAGTTGCTAGCATGAAACAAGAACCCCATCAGAAACAGGGGGAGCAAGTATCACAGTTTATTTTCCTCATTCTCAGATTATCTCTGTGTTAATGTGTCCCACAAAGAGCAAAATACGGAAGCCTCGTTCTTGTCTCATTCACCGGCTAGAGCAAGGAGGACCCATAAATTTCCCTGGTGTTTCGACAGATGACATCATCGCTCCTGCTCCAAAATAAATCTTGGAGCGTCAGTTCCCAACACCATAGAGAAGGCAGAGACAGCTGGAAATTGTTCTTTACCAGAGTCCCTTCTGGACTATATAGTCACATTCTGGCACAGAACTATAGATCCCAGCAAAGTAATCAGGGGGCAGTGAGGGTGTGAAGTTGGAAGGGGTGCTATATGACTATATTCCCCCACCCCCTTGCTGGTTGGCATTCAGTATTAATATATATGTCCATGGAATGTGTGGGTAATTTTGTTTTTATGATCGCATCTGCTATAATGCATATGTGAAATATACTCGGAGTTGAGTGTTGATTTCATGCTCTTTATTTCAGCTCATGGTAAACAGTGAGTGAGTGCTTTCCCCCAAAGACTCTGGCTATATATACATTATTTACACAATGGGTCCCGTGTGATTGGCTGATTCAACTCCCCTCCTGGAGCCTGTTTGGACTGTTCCTGCAGGCCAATCAGGTTGCTGATTCACTTCCTCCTGGAGCTTGATTGGGCAGTTCCTGCAGACCAATCAGGTTGCTGCCTTCTAGGATCCTACCTGCGTATTGTTCTAGGATCCAAGCTCAGTATATAACAATATGACTTTCATAGCCAAAGAAATGAAATTTGATATGTTGGCAATATGAACTATTTCTTGAAACTCTTAAATGCTGCCCTTCCGTCCTCTACTCCTCCTCTACCACTCAGTGCAATCAACTCTAAAGAGACACGACAGGATTACAAAGCTTGTCCTTTAGGCGGAGGGTAAATTACCGAGATGCATATAAAAGTTATATTTTAAAAACCTACAGGTTTTGTGAACTGGGATTTCGTAAACAACAAGTAAATTATTCTTCCCTTAAGCATTGTCGACCCTAGAATGGATATTGAGTTCCTAGAAGGAATTCCACTGCCTAAGACAAACCAATGTACTAAAACTAAACAAGCATTTGTCTTCACGGGGCACAAAAGAAGTACATGTCCTGAATTCAAATGAAGTAGCTGCACCTCAGTCAATGGCATATATACAGAATACCTCAAAGAGGACGATTTTAAAGCACTTTAATTGGTGATACCCAGTGCATTTATTAAAAAAAAAACCACCAGGACCATAATCCAGTCAACAAATAGTGGCAAGTGTGGTAGGACCACCCTCTTGGCACCGGCTTTGCTACATCTAACCTGGATGGGGTTGGGGTAGGGAGGTGATGACTTTAGGCAGAAGCGGATTTAGGAGAGTGTGACCAGTCACACTGGTTGCAGAGCCTTGGGGGTGCCACAAGGGCGCTGGAACTACGATGTGGAATGGAAGTCGAGACGCAGGGGGTGCCAAATTCTAGCATTGCACAGGGCACCACTGAAATTTGAGACCCCCAAGGTCTGCTTAGGGTTGCATGGATACACTGGCAGAGCCAATCCATCACTCCCATGGGTCACACACACAGCACAAACCTTGCTGCCACCCTGCCCCTTCTCAGCCTCACCCAGGTAGCCTGTGGTGACATTACTGTCAACAAGGCAGCTCCAAGTATCTGCCCAGCCATACTGGTGGAGACAGAGTTAAGCCCCCTAACCCAATTAATTTCTGGAGGAAGTTAAGTGCATGCTTAAACTCTGCAACTGAAATTACCAGAAATGGACAGCACTGCGTCTTCACTGTGTTGTGCTTCATATTCCTAAGCAACATTGTTCTGTAAGTTGGTAAGGGTACATGGAGCTTTCGTTAGGAGACAGACACACATACAGTGGAGGTTGATAAAGAGTACACGCACAGCTGTCTAATGCACTGGAGTACTATCATACACCTTGACTTCACTGGCAGCTGGGGGTCAGAGTGTTGGTGATATCATCCCAGCAACAGTGACACTGCTGCTCATAGCAAAAGAGATAGGGCAGGCGGCAACTACTACTTGCCACTGCCTTTGCCCTCCACACCCTGCTAGGATTGCCTCCCGCTGTGTGCCAATAGACTATGCTTACAAATGCACAAATCTACAGGTTAACTTAGGGACGCGGGTGGCGCTGTGGGTTAAACCACAGAGCCTAGGGCTTGCCGATCAGAAGGTCAGTGGTTCGAATCCCCGCGAAGGGGTGATCTCCTGTTGCTTTGTCCCTGCTCCTGCCAACCTAGCAGTTTGAAAGCACACAGTGCAAGTAGATAAATAGGTACCACTTCAGCGGGAAGGTAAACAGCGTTTCTGTGCGCTGCTCTGGTTCACCAGAAGCGGCTTAGTCATGCTGGCCACATGACCCGGAAGCTGTACGCCAGCTCCCTCGGCCAATAAAGCGAGATGAGCGCCGCAACCCCAGAGTCGGTCACGACTGGACCTAATGGTCAGGGGTCCCTTTACTCTTTACCTTTTACAGGTTAACTTAATACCACACTGTATTACCTCCTAGGTTACTTGTGGAACAGTTGAGCGCCAAGATATTCAATCTACTGTACATACATTCAATCCACGGTACTTTTCATGGCATAGTATTTTTGCCATCGGAAGCTCCCATGAGATTATATAAGCGACAATTTCAAACCAGTTTGATCATTTGTTCTTACTCATTAAAAGCGCATTTGAGTTACCCCGGGCAAAGTTACAGCACAGAGCTTGCCCAGACACCAAAGTAAACCAGGTAACCACTTGGGGGTGCCTGTCTCAGCTCTGATAATGTCTTGGGGAGAGAGGTTATTCTGGGGAAGGAACATTAAACAGGGAGATGAGAAAATAATATCCAGGTCAGCTCTTAATCTTTTAATGTGACATTGTTAAGCTGGTCAGCACAGGACAAGGTACAGGGAGAAGGTGGGGAAGCAGCAAACTTTTAATTCACCTAGGGCAGCAACAAACCTTGGGCCTCCGAGTGGAATTCTAGGCACGATTTCAGGTCAGCAAAACAATTTACAATCAAGGCTAGACTCCAAAATGACTATAATCAAATCCGCACTGCACTGCCATGGCTCTTTTGGAGGAGGACGTTCGTTGTTGATCTGCAATGCTTACCATCTCTGGGTCATGGGAATTGTCAAATTAACTTGACAGCACAAACACGTTTATAGCCAATTCCGAAGTCCAGAAATAAAGGCTTAATTGTAGTCATACTTCTTTTGTGCTGTACAGCTACACTAGCTGGAACCCGCTGATGTCAAATATTCATTTAAGAACTGTACGTTTTCTCTCTTTCAAACACAACACTGTGAGCTCTCTTTCATTATAAAAATCCAGGCCTCATTCTCTGCTCAGTTCGGTTCTTTTACAAATAAGGAAGTGTCAGGCAGTTTTAATTGAGTTGGAGATGCTACACTTAAGTTTTCCATTTAGGCTACCACCCCTTCAAATGTCTGTTTCATTAAATGTCAATCTTCTAGTGATAAGGACCCTTCTTGTTGTCTGAGACTGTCTTTCTAAATTCAATGGTGGGTGGAGAAAAGGGTGCATTTGACAATAAGGATTCTTACCTGCTGCTTTGGCAACATCGGCTGTGGTGATATTGAAGACATTTGAGTGCACTTTGAAGGTCACAGCTGGCCCCAGCATGCTACAAAACAGGATGTGAAACAAGAGGTTTGTAACTAAGGAACATAACATACAATATATATTCGAGGATAATTTATCATCTCCGGTGTGTTTTATTAGGCTCAGCTAGACATTTATAATCTCAGTATCAAAGTAAGGTGCATATTGATTTAGTTATGAATGAAAAACTCAACCAAACGTTTTGTAAAAAAAGTAAAATGAAAGTTGAACCAACAAGTACCAAGAGTGCACTGCTTTCATTATTCCAATAATTTTCAATAGCCATTCATCATTCCCAAACCTGAAGATTTATTGCTACTTGGGTGGGCAAGGTCTAGAGAATGTGGATTTTTTATTTTATTTTTTTAAACAGGATGTGACTGTCACTTTCTTCCCTTCTGTAATATCCATGTATATGACATGGCAGGGCAGTTCTTTTTTATCTTATGATGGCCCCCATCCAATCTTAATCATAGAATCATAGAATCATAGAATCATAGAGTTGGAATAGACCACAAGGGCCATCGAGTCCAACCCCCTGCCAAGCAGGAAACACCATCAGAGCACTCCTGACATATGGTTGTCAAGCCTCTGCTTAAAGACCTCCAAAGAAGGAGACTCCACCACACTCCTTGGCAGCAAATTCCACTGTCGAACAGCTCTTACTGTCAGGAAGTTCTTCCTAATGTTTAGGTAGAATCTTCTTTCTTGTAGTTTGGATCCATTGCTCCGTGTCCGCTCCTCTGGAGCAGCAGAAAACAACCTTTCTCCCTCCTCTATATGACATCCTTGTATATATTTGAACATGGCTATCATATCACCCCTTAACCTCCTCTTCTCCAGGCTAAACATGCCCAGCTCCCTTAGCCGTTCCTCATAAGGCATCGTTTCCAGGCCTTTGACCATTTTGGTTGTCCTCCTCTGGACATGTTCCAGTTTGTCAGTGTCCTTCTTGTGGGATGTAAACACAGGAGCAGTCAATGACAACATTCCTAGAGTGTACATGTTAGAACATGGGGAGGGATGTCTGTCCAGCAAGCAGGTAAACTTCCTGGGGACGGACTTCCTCCGCATGTGACCAGAGGTGGGTGTGGCCTCACCTGTGCAGGTAATGACAAAAGCACAGGGCAGGCAGCCACTCTCTCTCTCTGCCATCTTCCTTCGATGAGGAAACATCTAAGGATGCTCTCTTGGCTCCCAGCCAAGAGAGGAGATAAGGACTATCTTGCTACAAGATAGATTCTAAATGTATGTAACCTTTTTAAGCCAGTCTGCCTTCTGGGATCACATTGTGAACAGAACGTGAGTAAACTCTTTTATACTTTTATAAAGACTGTGTCGTGTCTTGTATTTTAAGAGGGAACAAAAGGGGAAATTACCAGGGTAATTATTATAGAGGTTCTAGCGAACCTGTGCAAGCGTTACCGTTGCGCACTTAAAGGGGAATGTTTATAAACTCTGCTGATATTTTGGGAACTTGTTAGCACAAGTTGGATAAGGATATAATTTGTCAATATATCCTCTCCTGCACCCCAGAACATTCCCACACTTCTTGAACTGTGGTGCCCAGAACTGGACACAGTACTCCAGGTGAGGTCTGACCAGAGCAGAATACAGTGGCACTATTACTTCCCTTGATCTAGATGCTATACTCCTATTGATGCAGCCCAGAATTGCATTGGCTTTTTTAGCTGCCGCGTCACACTGTTGGCTCATGTCAAGTTTGTGGTCAACTAAGACTCCTAGATCCTTTTCACATGTACTGCTCTCAAGCCAGGTGTCCCCCATCTTGTATTTGTGCCTCTCATTTTTTTTGCCCAAGTGCAATACTTTACATTTCTCCTTGTTAAAGTTCATCTTGTTTGTTTTGGCCCAGTTCTCTAATCTGTCAAGGTCGTTTTGAAGTGTGATCCTGTCCTCTGGGGTGTTAGCCACCCCTCCCAGTTTGGTGTCATCTGCAAATTTGATCAGGATGCCCTTGAGTCCATCATCCAAGTCGTTGATAAAGATGTTGAATAAGACCGGGCCCAAGACAGAACCCTGTGGCATCCTTCCTTCCTTCCTTCCTTCCTTCCTTCCTTCCTTCCTTCCTTCCTTCCTTCACTTCACTAAACATTTGGGGCTTTTCAATATTCCATAAGTACCTGGTCACTAATCATAGGTTATTGTTTGGAATTGGGGGGGGGGGCGTTCTGCACACACAGGAAGTCTGCAGTTTGCAGAAATAGCTTGCTTTCAGATAGCTCCATTTCACATCCAAACTGATAGGCATAGGGGCACTGAAGTTTGATTTTAGAGGAGTAATGATACAAGTGATGTGCATGTTCTTCTAATATAATTCACTGCATTAATGAAAAACATGTTAAATTACTGCAAAATAAGCTACAGGATCATTCACAAATAAGCAGTTTCAGGACTGAAGCCTGAGTCAAAACCCACAAAACCCATGTTTCCTTATGTCCAGACCACCTGGCATTATGTTAAGTAGCAGCTGATTTTTCAACTAGGGTCTGGCACTAAAGACCGCATTAGGAACTTATGATGACTCCGAGCCAGAGGTCTATGCCTCATTTACACATTTTAGCTACAGCTAATACTTTTTCTGCATCATTTGCACCAACATAGTGGTTAGGAAGGCACAGCTAGTCAGTGCCTTCTTATCATTCTCTAGAACTGAAAACAAAAGAACCAAGACGTACTTGTCTATTGAAATGTTATAGATCTAGTAAGCAGCAAGACACCTCAAATAGTAAAATCAAGTCAGCACCCCGTAAGTTAAAACATACACTCAATATAAGGGACATGTTTCTACATTAAACATTTGAATTGTTTATCATCCAATGACAAGAAGTTCTTTATGAAAACAATTAGTGGGCACCAAATTCATGTGGAGCCATCAGTTTACCTCAGGGGTGGGCAACCTAAGGCATGTGGGCCAGATGCGGCCTAACTGCTTTCTAAATCCAGCCCGCAGACGGTCCAGGAATCAGTGTGTTTTTACATGAGTAGAATGTGTCCTTTTATTTAAAATGCATCTCTGGGTTTTTGTGGGGCCTGTCTGGTGTTTTTACATGAATAGAATGTGTGCTTTTATTTAAAATGCATCTCTGGGTTATTTGTGGGGCATAGGAATTCGTTCATTTCCCCCCTTCCCCAAAATATAGTCGAGCCCACCACATGGTCTGAGGGATGGTGGACCGACCCACGGCTGAAAAAGGTTGCTGACCCCTGGTTTAACTAATAAAAGTTTATCCCATAATGTCCCCAGTTATTCTAGTTTTGAAGGTATCTCCTAAAATTTCGGGTGACAAACATAAACTAATTTAGCAACCCTTTCCAGGGAGCACAACTGGTACAATATTAAAGACAGTATACAGGAGAATCCATAGGTACATTAACATTAGTATAGTAGATGACAATATTCCTTGAACCATCTTCTTGCAAAACTCTTCCGTTTCAGCCCACCACATGTCAAAGATATAATGTATTTTATGATATAATGTATTTGGGGAATCTTTGTGCCTTGACTCATCATCAGTTTCAAAATCCATCCAATTCTTGAGAACTGGATGTTAGAATTCTGTAACAAGATTGTTTCTTGTATAGACAGACAATTCCTTATCTGGAAAAGGGGAATTTAAATTGGTGAAACTTGTTGGCATAGCTCCTTAAGCAAGGAGGTAGTAGGTGAAATCTTACTGTAGTAATTATCCCATGTGGACAGTAAGGTATTAATAACATTTTGACACTTTAGAAAAAGCTGCCTTTTCTTCTTTATTATCCAGAGGATGGAACACAGAAGAAGGTTTGTTCAATATTTTTAATTGCTGGATCTCCTTTATCTTTTTATATCCAGACAAATTTAGCAGCATGGTAGCAACGTAGTAATTTGGGAATTCCACATCTTCCTTTAGAACATGAGGCTATGTACACATTACTGACTTAAAACACACCTAGGTTATTCTTTTCCTCAATTCAGACTGAAGCTGGTTTGGGGGGGGGGAAATGTAGCAAAATGCAGTATTTCATTTAACAAAAACCTACAGGATAGGTGTGAATTGTAGCTAACATTGTGTGAAACTGTTAAACGTTTGTGGTGGAAAAGGAAATATTTTTGGTCCATTTCTTCTCATACCATGTTATCAACACTTATAACTTTGGTGCCACTATAGCTAGTAAAGGTATCGAAGAAATAGAAATATACACCAGTTTGATAGGTCATTCATTTGCGGTGCTATCCTGGACTCTGCTACCACTAACACACATAAAAAGGGAGAGAAGAAGCAAACCTCGCTTCCTGGAAAAAAAATGTTCATTAGGAGTCATTAAATATATCTTCCTAGAATGAGGAGGAGAAAGGACTCCTGGAAACAAAATGGCTTAAAAGGTAGGTATTGGGTCTGATCTAGCAAGACTGTTCTTACATTCTTATGGGAATAGATCCCATAGCAATTTGTATAAACGCAAAGTTTTTTTCACTAGAGACCATATCAGCAGTGAAATCTATACCTGTCCCATTAAGTGCAGACCTCCTTCACATGAATTCTGCACATCAGTTTTCATTATCATAACCTGTCCATACTTTTATTCTGTATTGGATATGTTGGAAACTAACTGAGTAGCAAAGTAGCAGCTCATAAAAACCATTTCCCCCGTTTTTTGTTTTTTTTAAAGCAGCTAATAGAGCCTCAAACTCTTATTGAATAAACATTTCAATAAGAATGTGTGTGCGCTAGGGAAAATTGGACTTTTCATTATGTGCAAGAGAAAGATAATACCACAAAATAAAAAGTAATAAATGATAACAACAACGAATATTGATCGCGTTGACTTTGGGAGGGATTCTGCCACTTTGGTATTCTGTACAATGCCTTGCCTACTGTTGGTGGCATTGGTAAATACATGCCAAGCGGCAAGATTTATTTGTTTCGTTTACATCCCACATTTCAGCCAAGGAGCTCAGAATGGCAATTTGAGCCTCACAACCAACCTCTGAGTAAAGTCAAGCAAATACAGCGATAT